GACTTACTCATCTTTAGTTGACAATTTTATCTTTTCCCAGCACATCACAGCCCACCTGGCTGTCTGTGGCTGTTGTCTGTCTTTCTCAACTCCAGAGCACTTTCCTCCAGAATCCAAACCTCTTTTTGTTTTGTTTTGTTTTTTTCAAAACCTCTTTTCAAATTTACCAAACCTGACAGGAATGGAATATCTATTTGGCAAAGTTTGCTCATCCATAATCCACCATTCCACCTGAGTCACCTTTGATGTGACACTTCATTACAGATAGGTATGTGGGCACAAGTAAGCCTCTGCTTAGCTAGTTTACTGGGTGATCTGCCCCCGCACGCATGTACCCTCACACACGTGTGCATGGACACACACACACACACACACACACACACACAGGGAACTTGGACCTAGACTTTCCTGAAGATGTTAAAGGAGTTAAAAGTCACCCCTACATTCTCCCCCAGTCCTCAGTGTCTCAGTCTCCTCGCCCATTGTCTTTCCCTTTTTCTCTGGCTCAAAGATGAAGTGAGTTTGCGTTTTCTCATCCTTCTGTGCTCTTGGGAAGTTCCCTGACTTCCCTGAGGTCTGGCTTTGTTCATTAGGCTTCCTTCTGGCGTCTTCAGGAGCCCTGGTGGCGTAGTGGGTTGTGTTGGGTTGTAAAGTCTCCGAAACCCCCAGGGCTGTGCTACTCTGTTCAACAAGTTGTCCCCGACTGAATGACAGGGAATTTGGTTTCTGAGTCTGGAATCTTCACTTTTCCTCTCTACTTGCTCCTTCGCCCTGGGTGTCTGAAGGGGATAACATTCCTCTCTGCTGAAGCACAAAGACAGCACTTCTTGTACCGGACTGCTTGCTCAAGCATTTGCCCCTACCCCATCCTTCACACCAAACTTCCTGAAAGAAAAGCTTGTATTCACTTCCTTTGACCCCCAACCCCAAGGTTCCAGGGAGGTCTCCAGGCCAGGCTCTCCTCCTGACCCCGGGCTGCTTCCATGCACGTCTGCTCGGCTCTGGCTTCTCACGTTCTCGAACCCAAACGTCTAGAGTAAATTCTCGTCTATTTCTCTTACATCATCTTTTTTGATGATTTGATCCTGTCCTCAGGCTTCTAACATTCTCTTGGTTTGTATACGTGCCAATTTGCGTCTCCCTCCCTGAATTCTCTTCGCGGAGACCCAGGGATGACTCCCCGATCTTAAGAATCAATAGTTAGACAATCAGTAGATGAAAGGTGAAGACAGAATGGCCCCGGTGATGGATGGTAGGTGTGATTAGGGCCCTCGGGGGGACACCTCCATGCCCTGTCCCCTGGCTGCTCCCCTTGCAGTCCTCCTGTGCTCGCTTCATTGAGATGATCCTGTTTCTCTATTTCTGCCATTTCCCCCAAGGATTCTGAGTTTAAACGTGTTTCAGCTTTCTCTTGCACACCATTCCGAAGTTTCCTGGCTCTGCCTCCTCTTCCAGCCCCTTCTACGGGCTGACGTTCATTTCACAAAGATACCATGGAAACCATGTGCTGTCTTGTGGGAGCACGATGGGAACTGCCAGCACAGTGGTCAAGAACCAGGAATGGTGTGTGAGGACGTGGCTTAGGGAGGACAGACGCTCACAGATAATGGTAAATCATGGTGAGGCCCGTATCACAAGGCTTCTTGGGATGGAGCGTTGGTTGTCCACAGCGGTGGCCAGATGATGAGGTATCCTGATGGCTTCCTCCCCTTCCCGATTTCATTCCCTTATTCTTCACCTCTCCTCCCTGCAAGAACATTCCCAATAAACAGCCCACAAAGAAGAGATGGGTTCAGACTCTGCTCTGGGGGAAGCTACTCTTTAAGCATTCCATCTTATTGACGTAACCGTAGTTTGTTCAC